ACAAACACCTTGAGGCAATGTTTGTTCAATTTAGCACAATCGTCCACTTGGACTCAACAATTAACTCATTGATTTTGGTATTCAGAGGTCAAAATTTGAGGTCACTGTGACCTTTTTATCTGTTTCATTTTCATTAGCACAATATTTCAAACAGGCCTTAAGGGAATGCTTTTTTTTTCAATTTGGCACAAACTTCCTCTTGGACTCAACCATCGACTAATAATAAGGTCAAATTTTAAGGTCACTGTGACCTCCTCATAAACGTGGTATCTCATGAACACCACAGGGTATTTTTTTTTTTTTTCAGTTTTGTCACAAACATCCAATTGGACTTACCAAAGACCTGATTAGAATTTGGTGGCCTAAGGTCAAGGTTTGAGGCCACTATGATGTAGTCTGTCTCCTTGTGAGGGCAATATCTCAAGAACGGCTTGAGGGATTTTTTTTGGCGCAAACATCCACTTGAACCCAAAAATGAACTGATTAGAATTTGGTGGTCAAAGAACAAACTTTAAGGTCACTGTGACCTCCTCTGTCTCCTTGTGAACGCGATTTCTCAAGACCACCTTGAGGGAATATTTTTTCAATTCGTCACAAACGTCCACTTGGACTTAAAAATGAACTGATTAGGCTTTGTTGGTCAAAGGTCATGGTGACCTTAGGAAACATCTTTTCATCCATAACTGAAGAATTCATACACTGACAAAACTTGACCCAAATGTCTAACAGGATACAATAATGAGGGTCAAAGGTCAGCTTGACTGTGACATCATCATGTTTTAACATCATATCTCAGGAACAGAAGATTAAAACTCTGATATATAAAAACCTGAACTTTACCTGAACATGTAAGATGTGTTTGTTTCTGTGTAAATAAAGTTCAGAGTAAATCAGGACTTTATTATTTTGGCTCTTTGATGTTGGTTTCAGGTCAGTTTTAAATTTGAGTCCACAGACAGTTTGTTTTTGATAAGGTTCCTCTTTTCACTGACCTCAGACTCACTTCTCTTAATCCTCTCCTTTTAAATAGTTTCTATTTTCAGTAGAAAACCATCTGCGGGGGAAATCCATGAGCGCCTTCACTCTTTAAAGCTTTCTGATTTTAGCAACACACCAATGAAAACTTCTCAGTTCTGAGTGTGACGGACATGAGATACGAAACCTGGGAAATATCAGCGACCGTTGCTCAAATCAATTCAGCCTACTGACAGTAAAGATTAAAAGCAAGAGGATTGGTCACATTAGAGATAATGACTGAAACCTCTTTTTTTAATGAGCCAAACATTAAAATAAAAGTAAAAATCATCAAGAGACTAAACATTTAGTCCTGAATTCATGAACACGAAACAAGTAAAACTACAAAACTACAAGTCAGAGTACTCTGACTTTGAAGAAAGGAAAATAAAGTTATATCACAGATAAACGACCGTGCACAATATTTGGAGACATCACGCCGTCTGGCTGTGTGCTTGCAACCGCCCCCACCAACGGGTGCCTTCAGGAACAGGGGGTTAATTTAAACCACACCTGGCTCTTGGACACACTCCAAGACTGGATCAATACTGTGCATTAGTTCACCAGTGACTCACCATTACAACCACCTATTCTTCACCAAAAAACAAATGTTGCCTTGTGGGGACGTAGGTCCTCATAATGTCAGTGTAAATAATGATTAATGGCCAATCATTAATGTGACTTAGGAGGACATTATGTTAATTACTGTATATTAGTTCCCTAATGACTCCCCATTGCCTTTTAACTACCTATTCTTTACCAAAACACACATTTTAAACCATAGATGTGATGTCTGCCTTGTGGGGACATAGGTCCTCATAATGTAGTGTGTAAACACATTAATAGGTAATTGTTTACATCACCTACAATAATTTACTCTAAATTAGTTTCCTGCTGACTCACCATTATCCTATAACCACTGACTCTTTAAACCACACCTGGCTCTCGGTCCAGATCAGTCTCAGGAGGAGGGTGTCTGGTGGTAATGGTCGAAACATCCTGTGATCCAGAGGTCGACTCCTGATGATGTGTCAAACGGCGCCGTTTTTTATCAACATGCTGAAGTCGAAACAGACGACTTCACAGCTGACTTAGCTAGCGTGCTAGCTGCACGAGCAGAAACAAACAACTATGATTCACTTTATTAATAAGTGTCTGATAATTAAAACAACGCAGTGGTCCTTCCAAAACGAGCCGTGGTTGAAGTTACTATATTCTGTTATGATCAGGGAGTTGAACACAGACGCTAGCTAGCACTAGCATAGTTAGAGAGTTGAAATGTTGACTCCTCCGACTGCTGTGAGGTGATTGGCTGAATGACAACCTGATTAAAAATTGTGAGCTTCTGATTGGCCACAGAGGCAGAAAGATGCCCTGACCTCTTGAGCTCACGTATGTTCACAACTAAAATGGCAGCTCTCCAGCTCTGCACGGGGATGATGTTGCCGCACCCTATACTCGGTGTACCAGTGCAGGAACGGACGCGAGGCCCCAGTGACGTCAGACATGTGCTGTGCTGCCTCGGGGCCGCAGCCCCTCAGCTTCACCAGGCGTAAACTACAAACAATTAAAGGGACAGTGCAGGAAGAGAATGCCTTCGTCTGAAGTTGGCGCCACGCCTCTGCAGACATCTGTCTCTGAGTGTTCATTAACCACCGGACGACAGGAAATAGAGTCAGGTCAAAATACCTGCACACATCTAAAGCACAAAGATTAAATGTGCAGTGTTTTTTTCCTACAGAGGGTCTGAAACCGGCGTGTGGTCGGACGGTGTGGGAGCAGAGCAGCAGATTAACCATCTGATTTAACCTTTAATAAAAACACTTCACACCTCCTCGTTTCCTGTGACAATCAGCCCCACTGGTTTCTATGAAGACTTCAGGTTGAGGTTTTAACACATCTCTGCTGAAGAGTCGAGTTCCTGAAAACTGTTGGCGTGAAGGACCGCAGAGAGACATGGTGTTTGTTTCTATGGTTACTGCTTTATCTTCATCAGAGGTGTTAAAATGCCGCCGACTGCAGCAGCAGCAGATCTAAGGCCCAATTCCAATCCGATCCCTTACAGACTCACTGACTTAGAGGCGCGTTCATGTGAAGTGCGTGAGTGTGTGAGGGCTGTCCCATTGTCAAATCTTTAATTCATTGAGTCAGTGAGTGAGCCCTTTATGCCCCCTTACCGTAGGTCAGCATCGATGTGTACTTACTGTAAGGAAATTACCCACAGTTCATAGCGTTGTGACGTCAAATACAGGGGTTGCCCTCGGAACACCGGAAGTAACACGGTCAGCAGATATGCAAACGGTAACATTATGGAAGGAGAGCGAAAAAACAGATAGATAAACAATGAAACATTATATTAACAAGGATTTAAGATGGTACAAAAACACACATGAAGTCAGAGGAATACCAGTGGTTATATTCCACACACAAAGAATATATATCTATATAGATAGATAGATAGATCTATATATATATCTATATATATAGATATATATATATTCTTTGTGTGTGGAATATATGATGACAATAACCAATAAATGATCACGCCCAGAGCCGCCAGTGTCAACAACATTTTGTAGAGAGGGGGATAAGTGCTGTCCCATTCCTATTTGTAGCATCCTGAGCCCTTTCAGACTCTCACACTCAGTCACTTACAGCTGACGTCAGTTAAGTCAGTGAGGGTTCAGGGCTTGAGTCTTTAGGGGCCGGATTGGAATTGGGCCCAAATCTGTCTGTCTGAGTCACATGATCTGGACTTGAATCACATGACCTGGACTTGAGTCACAGATTTAACTGGACCTTTACCATCAGTGATTATTCTGAAGTCTCAGAAGGATGATTCCTTGAATCACAGCTGAAACTCCTGTCAATAACAGCAACAGGAAATGACTCAGAAACCACTTCCTGTTTTCACCCGGCGGTCTGATGGAGACTGTCGCTGAGAAGTGAACAGATAAACACACACATTACTTAAATTCATGTCATGCCGTGTTCACTCTCGAGATTCGTTTGCCGTCTGAATCTTCAGGTTGAGTTTTTCATGTCACATGGTGTCGATCAGCTGATTCATCATCATCATCATCATGTGGCCCCAGCACTCGTGTCTGCGTTTCATCACAGAGGTCAAAAGGTCAGAGACGTCAACTCGAAACTGGACACAAAATTAATTCCTCAAAACTCCCGAGGAAACTTTGTTTTGTCTGAACAGCTGATGTCCAGTCACGTTGACACAGCGACAGCTGAGTGTGTAAACACATTAACCCTTTATGTCACTTACCACATTACTGTACATTAGGTCCTTGGTGACTCACCATTATCTTACTGCCACCGACTTTTCACCAAAAACCAAAGTTTAAACAGAAGATGTGATGGTTTGCCTTGTGGAGACATGCGTCCTCATAATGTCGGTGTGTACAGCCATTAATATATAATTGTTTATGTCACTTAGGAGGACATCACATTCACTTGCCGTACATTTGTTCACCAGTAATTTACCAAAAAACACATTTTGCCTTGTGGGGACGTAGGTCCTCATAATGTCAGGTGAGTCTGTGACAGAGACAGGTGACTCTGTAACAGAGACAGGTGAGTCTGTGACAGAGACAGGTGAGTCTGTAACAGAGACAGGTGAGTCTGATAGAGACAGATGAGTCTGACAGAGACAGGTGAGTCTGTGACAGAGACAGGTGAATTAGTGACAGAGACAGGTGAGTCTGTGACAGAGACAGGTGAGTCTGTGACAGAAACAGGTGATTTTGTGACAGAGACAAATTAATTTGTGACAGAGACAGGTGAGTCTGACAAACAGGTGAATTTGTGACAGAGACAGGTGAGTCTGACAAACAGGTGAATTTGTGACAGAGACAGGTGAGTCTGACAAACAGGTGAATTTGTGACAGAGACAGGTGAGTCTGACAAACAGGTGAATTTGTGACAGAGACAGGTGAGTCTGACAAACAGGTGAATTTGTGACAGAGACAGGTGTATTAGTGACAGAGACAGGTGAGACACAGTTCTTATATTCAGAGAAACAAACATAAAGCTAATTTTTAATGAATTAAAACAACATGATGACGTCACCTTTAGTCTTGGACCACCTTAAACCTGTCCCTGTCCCTGAGCAGATTTAAGGTGGCCCAACAAAGATCACAGCTCATCGGGGCGACTTGACAGGTGTCCCTGACAGAAAAGTCGAGGTGCGGTCCAGGTGTCAGTACTGGGGCAGTGTGGACTGAGGCAGCTGGGCTTTGTAGTAGATACACTCTGAAGACACAGCAGCTGGGGGCGCTCTGAGCTGGATCTCCTCGTACTGAAACACACAGCAGTAGCAGTTACTCAGAGTAGCATTAGCGATAGCATTAGCAGGTAGCAGTAACTAGCATTAGCATTGGTAACAGCATTAACTGTAGCAGTAACTAGCAGTAGCATAAGTAGTAGCATTAGCACATGGCAGTAACTAGCAGTAGCTTTAGAAGAAGCATTAGCAATAGCATCATGAGTAGCATTAGCATTAGTTCCAGTAGTAGCATTAGAAGTAGTTCCAGTAGTAGCATTAGAAGTAGTTCCAGTAGTAGCATTAGCATTAGTTCCAGTAGTAGCATTAGAAGTAGTTCCAGTAGTAGCATTAGAAGTAGTTCCAGTAGTAGCATTAGCATTAGTTCCAGTAGTAGCATTAGAAGTAGTTCCAGTAGTAGCATTAGAAGTAGTTTCAGTAGTAGCATTAGCATTAGTTCCAGTAGTAGCATTAGAAGTAGTTCCAGTAGTAGCATTAGAAGTAGTTCCAGTAGTAGCATTAGCATTAGTTCCAGTAGTAGCATTAGAAGTAGTTCCAGTAGTAGCATTAGAAGTAGTTCCAGTAGTAGCATTAGCATTAGTTCCAGTAGTAGCATTAGAAGTAGTTCCAGTAGTAGCATTAGAAGTAGTTCCAGTAGTAGCATTAGCATTAGTTCCAGTAGTAGCATTAGAAGTAGTTCCAGTAGTAGCATTAGAAGTAGTTCCAGTAGTAGCATTAGCATTAGTTCCAGTAGTAGCATTAGAAGTAGTTCCAGTAGTAGCATTAGAAGTAGTTCCAGTAGTAGCATTAGCATTAGTTCCAGTAGTAGCATTAGAAGTAGTTCCAGTAGTAGCATTAGAAGTAGTTCCAGTAGTAGCATTAGCATTAGTTCCAGTAGTAGCATTAGAAGTAGTTCCAGTAGTAGCATTAGAAGTAGTTCCAGTAGTAGCATTAGCATTAGTTCCAGTAGTAGCATTAGAAGTAGTTCCAGTAGTAGCATTAGAAGTAGTTCCAGTAGTAGCATTAGCATTAGTTCCAGTAGTAGCATTAGAAGTAGTTCCAGTAGTAGCATTAGAAGTAGTTCCAGTAGTAGCATTAGCATTAGTTCCAGTAGTAGCATTAGAAGTAGTTCCAGTAGTAGCATTAGAAGTAGTTCCAGTAGTAGCATTAGCATTAGTTCCAGTAGTAGCATTAGAAGTAGTTCCAGTAGTAGCATTAGAAGTAGTTCCAGTAGTAGCATTAGCATTAGTTCCAGTAGTAGCATTAGAAGTAGTTCCAGTAGTAGCATTAGAAGTAGTTCCAGTAGTAGCATTAGCATTAGTTCCAGTAGTAGCATTAGAAGTAGTTCCAGTAGTAGCATTAGAAGTAGTTCCAGTAGTAGCATTAGCATTAGTTCCAGTAGTAGCATTAGAAGTAGTTCCAGTAGTAGCATTAGAAGTAGTTCCAGTAGTAGCATTAGCATTAGTTCCAGTAGTAGCATTAGAAGTAGTTCCAGTAGTAGCATTAGAAGTAGTTCCAGTAGTAGCATTAGCATTAGTTCCAGTAGTAGCATTAGAAGTAGTTCCAGTAGTAGCATTAGAAGTAGTTCCAGTAGTAGCATTAGCATTAGTTCCAGTAGTAGCATTAGAAGTAGTTCCAGTAGTAGCATTAGAAGTAGTTCCAGTAGTAGCATTAGCATTAGTTCCAGTAGTAGCATTAGAAGTAGTTCCAGTAGTAGCATTAGAAGTAGTTCCAGTAGTAGCATTAGCATTAGTTCCAGTAGTAGCATTAGAAGTAGTTCCAGTAGTAGCATTAGAAGTAGTTCCAGTAGTAGCATTAGCATTAGTTCCAGTAGTAGCATTAGAAGTAGTTCCAGTAGTAGCATTAGAAGTAGTTCCAGTAGTAGCATTAGCATTAGTTCCAGTAGTAGCATTAGAAGTAGTTCCAGTAGTAGCATTAGAAGTAGTTCCAGTAGTAGCATTAGCATTAGTTCCAGTAGTAGCATTAGAAGTAGTTCCAGTAGTAGCATTAGAAGTAGTTCCAGTAGTAGCATTAGCATTAGTTCCAGTAGTAGCATTAGAAGTAGTTCCAGTAGTAGCATTAGAAGTAGTTCCAGTAGTAGCATTAGCATTAGTTCCAGTAGTAGCATTAGAAGTAGTTCCAGTAGTAGCATTAGAAGTAGTTCCAGTAGTAGCATTAGCATTAGTTCCAGTAGTAGCATTAGAAGTAGTTCCAGTAGTAGCATTAGAAGTAGTTCCAGTAGTAGCATTAGCATTAGTTCCAGTAGTAGCATTAGAAGTAGTTCCAGTAGTAGCATTAGAAGTAGTTCCAGTAGTAGCATTAGCATTAGTTCCAGTAGTAGCATTAGAAGTAGTTCCAGTAGTAGCATTAGAAGTAGTTCCAGTAGTAGCATTAGCATTAGTTCCAGTAGTAGCATTAGAAGTAGTTCCAGTAGTAGCATTAGAAGTAGTTCCAGTAGTAGCATTAGCATTAGTTCCAGTAGTAGCATTAGAAGTAGTTCCAGTAGTAGCATTAGAAGTAGTTCCAGTAGTAGCATTAGCATTAGTTCCAGTAGTAGCATTAGAAGTAGTTCCAGTAGTAGCATTAGAAGTAGTTCCAGTAGTAGCATTAGCATTAGTTCCAGTAGTAGCATTAGAAGTAGTTCCAGTAGTAGCATTAGAAGTAGTTCCAGTAGTAACATTAGCATTAGTTCCAGTAGTAGCATTAGCAGTAGATCCAGTAGTAGCATTAGCAGTAGTTCCAGTTGTAACATTAGCATTAGTTCCAGTAGTAGCATTAGCAGTAGTTCCAGTAGTAGCATTAGCATTAGTTCCAGTAGTAGAATTAGCAATAGTTCCAGTAGTAGCATTAGCAGTATTTCCTTTAGTAACATTAGCATTAGTTCCAGTAGTAGCATTAGCAATAGTTCCAGTAGTAGCATTAGCAGTAGTTCCAGTAGTAACATTAGCATTAGTTCCAGTAGTAGCATTAGCAGTAGATCTAGTAGTAGCATTAGCAGTAGTTCCAGTTGTAACATTAGCATTAGTTCCAGTAGTAGCATTAGCAGTAGTTCCAGTAGTAGCATTAGCATTAGTTCCAGTTGTAACATGTAGCATTAGCATTAGATCCAGTAGTAGCACGTAGCATTAGCAGTCGTTGAAGTAGCAAGAGCAGTCTCAGTGACAGCACAGTATAAACAGCAGTGGTTTGTTTACCTGTGGCGTCTCCAGCGTCTCTGCGCTCTGATTGGTTGACTGTGGTGAGTCAGTCACCTGGTAGTTACACGTCTTCTTCTTCTTCAAACACACAGAGGTAAAAACCACACCTGCCGACACATCACCAGGTAAGTTACCTCACCTCCGGATATGTAAACACACACAAACAGACACGTCATTTGGAACAAACAACTGAACTTTGACTCTGGTCAACAGGAAGTGACAGACGGAGAGGTCTCTTTAAGCTTGTTCACACACACAGAAGCTGTCCGCTAACAGCACACTGACCTGTTAGCACGAGAAAGAGGAGGACGTTCAGGATGAAGGAGCTGTAGACGACAGGCTCATTCCACCACACACTGCAGCTGCACTGCTGCTTCTCTGATCCACAGTCGTCTTTGACCGCCGCTCCGTCTGGAGACAGACAGGCGACAGACTGAGGACAGCTGCCGTAACCGAAAGTCATCTGACAGCCAAACAAACTTCACATAGGACAGTTTTAGTGAAATAGCTAATCATAGCAATAGCATTAGCATTTACGAGTAATAGCATTAGAATGTAGCAGTAGCTAGTAGTAGACATAAAAAATTGGATGAGCACCAATTTCCTGATGTTAAATTCAGACAAAACTGAAGTTATTGTTCTTGGCCCCAAACAACTCAGAGACTCTTTATCTGATGACATAGTTTCTCTACATGGCATTGCTCTGGCCTCTAGCACTACCCTAAGAAACCTCGGAGTAATATTTGATCAAGATTTGTCTTTTAATTCTCATTTAAAACAAACCTCACGGACTGCATTTTTTCATCTGCGTAATATTGCGAAAATTAGGCCTATCCTGACCCGAAAAGATGCAGAAAAATTGGTCCACGCTTTTGTTACCTCTAGGCTGGATTACTGTAACTCTCTATTATCAGGTAGCTCTAGTAAGTCCTTAAAA